GAAGATGTTGGATAGCCATCTGTCTGAAACGGTATAGGGTTTCCTGCCTAGGCAGGGGGGTGGACTAGAAGACCTCCAAGGTCCCTTCCAACTCTGTTATTCTATTCTAACCCTTTAGTAATACAGACAAATGGCTGTTCCATCTCTTCTTTAAAACCTCCAGTGATGGATCACTGACAACTTCCAGAGGCAAGCTGGTTCCACTGATTAATTATTCTCATTGTCAGGAAATTTCTCCTGAATTCTATGTTGGATCTCTTTTTGATAAGCTTCTATCCATTACTATTTCTCCTTCCCTCGGGTGTTTTAGAGAATAAGTTTACAATTTACAATAGCAGAGTTGGAAGGGACCTTGGAGGTCTTCTAGTCCAACCCCCTGCCTAGGCAGGAAACCCTATACCGTTTCAGACAGATGGCTATCCAACATCTTCTTAAAGATTTCCAGTGTTGGGGCATTCACAACTTCTGGAGACAACTTCTGTTCCACTGATTGATTGTTCTAACTTTCTTCGCTTGTACTTCATATTTTCTTTCCCCTCCTCTTTTTCCTTCCCTTAATTTCCTATTATTTTATTTTTCTTTAGATTTTATATATTGATAAAGCAATATTGATCAGTCTTTCGGTTACATCACCAAAGATTAAAAGTAAATACGTTTCTAAATATTGGGAAAATGTGAATACCCCACCAGAGGAGACTGTAATCCCCAAAAAGTTTTTGACTTTGCCGAAATGGTTAGATTAACCTTTAAAATTAAAGATCAAGACGATGTAGACTATTATATGATTTGGAATAAATTCTAAGAACGGTTAGAAGCAAGAGGTGGGAATTAGAGAAAAATAAGGTCTTAAATATTAACACTGAAAATAAGAAGGTAAATAACTACAATTATAACAATCAACCAAAATGTAAATATTTTAATGTAGGAAGAAACTGAGCTAAAAGCTTTTTGGTTATATTATTACTATTATTACTTTATCATTATTATTGGTATTAGTTTGTATGTCAATGTTTAACACCACTCTTCTCTTTTTGGTCTTTTTTATTTGTAAATGGTGCACTGTTTTTCAAAAAATTGTTTATGAATAACATTTATTTTTTAAAAAAGAAGTAAATACGTTTCCTCAATCCAGATTTTGCCTACAGCTGAAAGTCCAGCATCCTATCGATAGAAGAGAATGTTTTTAGCTCAGGGTTGAACTGTGGTGTCCTTGGTGCTCTCCGAATTTGGATATTTTCTGAAAGAATACAGTATTCAGCTTTCTTCCTAGTTTAGAGTTGCATCTATCACTGACTATAGCAGTGGTTCCCAAACTTGGCAACTTTAAGACTTGTGGACTCCCTTGTCAACTCCCAGAATTCTCCAGCCAGCTCTGCTGAATTCTGGGAGTTGAAGTCCACAAGTCTTAAAGTTGCCAAGTTTGGGAACCACTGGACTATAGATAAGTTCATCAGACCATAATTTTTCTGGCACTTTAATTTATTTCTTAGCCTTTAAGGCACCATAAGCCTATTTGTTGGTTTTCTAGCTTAGATCACTTCGCTATTTTAAGACCTAGTTTTCACAGCTACCTCTTGACATTTCTAAGATATTTCTCATATGGAGTGACAAAGATCTTGAAATGGGGGTGGGGGGTGGACTGAACCTGTTAAAGGTAATAATGGATAAGTATTTGTTTAGACTTTCTACCTTAGCCTTTTCTTGTTTTGTTAAATATTTCTTTTGCTATAGTTTTTTTTAATAAACTGAAAACTACAGAACTGAATTCTCCTTTTCCAAAGCCCCTGAAGGCCAAACAAGGAATATTGGATGGAAACTGAACAAGGAGAGATTCAACCTGGAAATNTAAAGGTAAAGATTCCCCTCACACATATGTGCTAGTTGTTCCTGACTCTAGGGGGCGATGCTCATCTCCGTTTCAAAGCCAAAGAGCCAGCATTGTCCGAAGATGTCTCCATGGTCATGTGGCCGGCATGACTAAACGCTGAAGGCGCACAGAATGCTGTTACCTTCGCACCAAATGTGGTCCCTATTTTTCTTCTTGGATTTTTACGTGCTTTCGAACTGCTAGGTTGGCAGAAGCTGGGACATGTAACAGGAGCTTACTCCGTTATGCGGCGTTAGGAATTCAAACCACCGAACCGTAGACCTTTCTGATTGATAAGCTCAGTGGCTTAGCCACTAAACCACCGTGTCCCTTTTGACATGTGTAGCCATCAGTATAAAGCCAAGTATTAAAGAAAGTGAATTTAGTATAGCCAAAGGAATAATCTTGGGTCAGTCCCTCTCTCTCAGCCCTAGGAAGGAGGCAATCCCCTTCCGAAAAAGCTGCAAAGAACATTCTAGGACTTCCCTAGACATCATGAGGAGTTACTATTTACTTACTACTTGCTCAACACTGACACAAAGACACAAAGAGAGAAAACAAATAGAAAGTTATCAGAATATGCCAATCATTAGGCACTGTTCTCATCTCTGTTTCAAGGCCATTGATCCAATGGCTGTTTGAAGACATTTCCATGGCGTTATGGCTAGCATGGCATCATGGAGCACGGTTACCTTCCCACTGGAGTGGTACCTATTAATCTACTCGCATTTGCATGCTTCTGAGCTGCTAGGCGAGCAGGAGCGGGGGCACGGAACAGGAGCTCACCCCGTCAAATGGCACACGGGTCTCGAACCTAGACTGCCAGCTTTCCAGCTGACAAGCCCAGCGTCTTAACCACTGAGCTACAGCGCCATTTTATCAGACTATGATTCTGGTACAAATCGTGGCTTTGCTGTTATGTGTCTGCAAGGAAGGAAATCCACATACCCATCGATTAGCCGAGATGCCGCCATGAGTTCAAGAACTTCACTTCTTAAGGATTCCTCCGTAGCTGTGGATTCCAAAATGTCCACAAACAGAAAGAGTAGCCCCAGAAGCATCACCATCACTGGGTCCCAAGGAAGTCCACAAGCTAAATGAGATGCCTCCAAATATATATATATATTTTCTTGGATAAAAAACGGAGCACGCTGTTTCCTTCCAAGTTCTTCAGGCAAAGGGTTTCAAACCCAGCGAAAAGAAGTGATCAATCTCTGAAAATCTTCACTCAGTTGGCCTGCTGCGGACAAGGGAAGAAAAAGAGAAGACGAATTAGTGGGGACAATCTCATGATGCGTTAAAAGGACACAATATACGTTTCTCTCAGGCTTTTCAACACAGAGAGCTCAGATCCAGAATAACATTACATAAAAACTTCTGGGAATCTCTCCCACACAGAAAATGCACACCCACGTTTTCCTGCAACTTTGCCAGAATATTTTTTTTTTTTTACTATTGGCCAGATTTTTGTCTGGGCAGCCCTAATATTTACAACAAACAAGCCACATCGGCACCAGACTCATCAAAATGTCAAGGAAGGACACTTAAGTTTGAATACAATCCACACCAGGATTGGTCGAGCCTAGGAAATTTGTTTTCATATATATATATATATTCCAAACCCACGCATCCTCCCTTCCATGCACAAATGTGTCTAAAGATCAGGGCTAAAAAAAGCATTTGCTGGCAAACGAAATGTTCTTTCATCTTAAAAAGAAAGAAAGAAAGCGAAGCTTTTCCTCCATTTGCAGTATCAAAAATAACTTTTCTTTCATCATATTAAGATCTCCACCTCAGAAATTCCCAACCACGCTATTGCTGAGTGTTCTAGGCTTCAAAATCCACACACAAGGAGTCCTTGACATACAAGAGTTCATTAAGTTACCATTCAAAGTGAGCATTTTTCACACTTAACAACTATCACCCTTGGTATAACGTGATCAAAATTTGGAGGCTTTGCAACTGATTCACATTTATGACGGTTGCGGTGTCCCGGGGTCATGTGATTCACTTTTGCGACCTTCTGATCAGCAAAGTCAATGGGGGAAGCCAGATTCACTTAACAACCGTACTACTACCTTAATAACTGCAGTGATTCACGTAACAACAGTGGCACGAAAGGTCTTAAATGGAGCAAAACTCAAGTTAACAACTGTTTTGCTTAGCAACATAAATTTGGGGCTCAGTTGTGGGTCGTAAGGCGAGGACTGCCTGCATCTGAAAGTTCACAAGACTAAGAACCCTTGTGAAAATTTGCTTTTTGGAAGCAAACCAGACCTTCCCTAGCTGGAGTGAATTCTGCTGGGAAGCAAAAATGCGAGGATTTCTTCAATGGATTCAGAGGATATATATTTGTAGAAAGCTGGACTAAGAAAAAAATGCAAAAGTAAGAATCTGAAAACACCTTACAACCCTTAAGGGCTAACATCTCAGAATGCTAGTTAAATGTCATGACATAAACATCAGTTGAAATTCTGTGGATATTGGCTCACGAAAAACTGCACTGTGATAAATGCAGGTTGGGTTGCTGGAGGTTTGCAAGGGTTCTGGAGAACCTCTAGCTAAGATTCTGTGCAGTTCGGAGAATTCCCAAATCCCACTCCTGGCTGGCCCCACTCCGTCCTGTCCACCAACCTCGCCCCTCCCAGGAGTCCCCATGTGGCCCATTTTGGATACAGGTAAGTACAGGGCATGTGCAGAGGCTTGGAGAGGGCGGAAAATGGGCCCACCGGAGGTTCAGGCTCGTTTTTGGCCTCCAAAGGGCCTCAGAGCCTGGGAAGGCCGTTTTCACCCTCCCGGAGACTCGAAGAAAGCCTCCAGAGCCTGGGGAGCAGAGGTGGGTTGCTCCCAGTTCGGCCCGGTTCAGCTGAACCATTAGTGGCGGTGGTGGGAGGCTCTGTGTATGTGCACAAGCGTGTGACTGGTGAGCGTGCACACGAGCATGAGTGAACTGGTAGTAAACCAGTTAGTAACCCACTATTGCTGGGTAGGGCAAAAATGGTGCAGGAGGCTGATTAGGTCATGCCCACCATAGCCACGCCCAGCCAGGAATCGGACAGAGAACCCCTTGCTAAAATTTTTGAAGGCCACCCCTGGATAAATGTGTTTGTCTTGTAAGAGTCACAAAACCGTTTGCACAACTTTCTGTTGTGCTTTTTACAAAGGCTGCAAATGTCACATTTACTTTGGCATCTATTTGGGACATGTGGTTTATTTTTGGGAAAAGGCACTTGCTTTCTATCCATCAAAGGTTGCGGCAATATGCGTTACTATAGCAGAGATGTTTGTAATATTTTACAATAACATGCGGAACTGATTGTATTAGAGGAGCCAAAAATGGACGGGTTTCTTCAATGGATTCAGAGGATATGTATTAGTAGAAAGCTCAGATTAAGAAAAAAAAAGGCAAAAGTAAGGATCTGAAGCCACTTTAGAACCCCTAAGGCAGTGTTTCTCAACCTTGGCAACTTGAAGATGTCTGGACTTCAACTCCCAGAATTCCCCAGCCAGCGAATTCTGGGAGTTGAAGTCCAGATATCTTCAAGTTGCCAAGGTTGAGAAACACTGCCTTAAGGGTTAACATCCTACAGTGCTAGCTAGATGTAATGGAAAATGCAAATATGCAAGCAACAAAAATAGTTAAGAAAAACAGATTATGCAGCACGACTAAAATCTATAAAAGGAAATGCGGGGGCAGGTGGGTGTGTTTAAATCATTTTGTCGTGCCATTAAATATGGATTTCCTTGGAAGGATGTTGAGGGAAGGCGATTGGGCAGAGAAAAGATATCTTAATCATTTCTTCTAGAGCAGGGATTGTGGGCTGGATCCGGCCCATGAGATGCTTAGATGTGGCCCACAGGGCCAGCCTAGAAACAACAAAGCACCAACCCGTGGTGCATTTGCCAGCAAAAGCCCCCCCCCCCCCACGGGCTCCATTT